TTCTTGTTCAAATAGATTACCTTTACAGCAAAAAAATCTATAACATTTTTTTAATGTTATCCATACCAAATGATTAATATAGAAACAAATATAAACAGTACATAATATTAATGTTATTATCATACCAAATGAAACAAAACGATAGATTGGAAAATAAATTTCTTGATCATTATTTTTTATCATCGATGATTTATTATAATCATCAATAATTTTATCAGTTATTTTTTTATCATCCTTTAATGATTTATAATCAATAATAATACCATCTTTTTGAAAATTTAATTGTTCTAAACCTTTTTTTGTTGATAAACGATAATTTTTTTGATCATTTTTAGTTATAAGACGACATTTTTTTATAAAATTTTTATCATTCGATGTTATTATTGTATCATCATCACTATTAACATAATATTTAAACCATTCAAACATACGTAAACGATGTTTAGACATTATTTCAATTTTATCATCAAGTTTTGAATCTTTCCAACAATTTATATAATGTACAAAATCTAAACGTATACAATCGAATTGATAAATTGAATTTTGATTTTGAATAAATTCAGATAATTTTGTTGTTTTTAATATAAATATTTGACTACCAATCAATAAATGTATATATTTATTTATAAACATTGATGTTATTGGTAATGTTGTCCAATATGATTGTTTTTCAATAAAAAGACGACCACCATTATCAAAATAAAATATTTTCCAACAATATTTATTATCAATTTCGATTATTATTATTAATAAATGTTCATTATAATCAATTAGGCCGGTAATTAGACGGAAATTTTTTTCTTCTTGTTGTTCAATGGATAATTTTATATTCACTTTATCCGATTTACTATAAATACCATGTGTTATACTATATTCATACATATAAAATTGATTATTATCATATTTATCCATATAGATAATTAAAAATATTTCATCACCAGTTTCACCATAAATTAAATTCTGTATAATTTGTACATTAAATTTAAATGGATTTTGCGACATCTTTAGTTGATTATTTGAAACATTATATGTAAATAAATATCGACCTTGAAAAAAATAATAACAATTTTTTGATTCAGAATAAACAATTGAATCGATTAATGGCCAAAAACAAATATTTATTGGACAATTGAATATTGTTTTCATTGGCTATCATTTGCGAGGGAAAAAAATGAATTTGAATTAGTTTTTCTTTAGAAATGAAAATGAAATGAATGAAATGAATAATTACCAATGTTGATAATGGTGGATACATTTTAGATTTTTTACAATCACGACAAAATCTAATTGTTGAATATGATTGTTGTTGAAATAATATTAAATCAAAATTATTTAATCTGTTTGAAATTTGTTGTTTAATCAGATAGATTTGTCTGATTCGATCATAATCGATATCGGTTTTATTAATTTGTGCAAATTGTTTTGGTTGTTGTTGTTGTTGATTACTATCATTATTTAATTGATTTTCAAATAGAACTTCAAAATCAATTGTTTCTTTTAATGTCCAAACGATGAATGATGAATTGGATTTTTCTTGTTTCATCGGTATTAACATTGATGTCTGTTTTTAACGGAGAAAGAGAAAGAGAAATGAGAAAACATACCACAAAATCAATACCGATATTTACCTTTATATGATAATCATTTAAATTTTTTCCAAACCATTTTGAAATATTTTTAAAATCTTTAAATTCATTATTGAATGTTATTGGTAAATGATCAACAGTGTATGAATATAATTCTGTGAGGAAAAAAAAAGAATGAATGAATGAATGAATCCAGAGAATATTATTATACAGGAAAAACTCGAAAATCAATTACAAATTACAAATTACAAATCAACTTACTTTTATCATTAAATAAAAAATAATAAAATGTTTTATTCAATATAAATATCATACGAACATTATTGATAAAAATATTTGATTTAATAAAATATTGACATAATTCTTCACTTGTTTGTTGACAAATTTGTAATGATTTATTTTTCGATTGAATGGGACGAAAATTTCCTGTAAAACTATTTATACATGTATAGTTACATGTGTTTGATTTGTTAACACCATCATTATGATCATAATTGATAAATATACTGAATCCATATTCCAAACCCATATCCAATATTAATTCAATATGACCATAATGATCTAATTGTTTACATTGATCAGCATCGGGTAATTGAATTGGATTCATTGTTGCGGTACGATCAATGATGATGGTCAAAATCATCATCACCATACGAATAACGAATATTGAAATTTTTGTTGCCATTTTTTTTTCTCACCAAAAAAAATTGAATAAAAATTTTCACCAAAAATAAACCAAAAACGAAATATAGTTTGCCGAATGTTTTCCAGTAAAATATTCAAATTATTTGATTGTTGTTGAAATGAAATTAGTGGGTTTAAAATAATTCGAGAAATTCGATTGAAAAATTATTGTTATTTTTTAGTAATTTTATTTTAATTTGTAAATGATGATGATTTTACTCCTTTTCCTCTACTGCTAACGATGTTTCTCCTGTCGACATCGATGTTATTGTTGACGTCGGTGGTGGTGGTGGGATCGATTGTTGTTGTTGTTTTTTAATTAAAGTACTTTTACGGCATTTCGAAACCAAATGTTTTTTATAAAAACAAATATAACCACCAGTAAATAATATTATAATTATAATTATTCCGATTAAAATCAAACCATATAATGGAAAATGATCACTACTTTCAATAATTGTTGTTGCATTATAATCATTAATAATTTTATTACTTATATCCGATTCTGAATAATAATCAACAAGTATACCATCTTTTTGAAAATTTATTTGTTCTAAACCATTTTTCGTTGATAAACGATAATAATTTTTTTGATTATTATTTTTAGTTATTAAACGACATTTTTTAATAAAATTTTTATCATTTGGTGTCACCATTGAATCATCACTATTAACATAATATTTAAACCATTCAAACATACGTAAACGTTGTTTGTGCATAATATTAATTTTTTCTTCATCAAATTCTTTTAAATCATTTGAACAATCAATAAAATGTGTAAAATCCAAACGTATACAATCAAAATGAAAAAAATTATAATTTTCAATAAATTCGGTTAAATTTTTTGAATTGGTTATAAATATTTGATTACCAATCAATAAATGTATATATTTATTGATAAACATTGATGTTATTGGTAATGTTGTCCAATATGTTTGTTTTAAAGTAATTGTAGATTCATTATGGAAATAATATAATTTCCAACAAAATGCATCTTCATTTTCAATTTTAAGCACTACCAATAATAATCGTTCATAATCATCAAGTAATCCGGTAATTAAACGATAATTTTTTTTCTCCAATAATTCTATTTCCTCACTCATTGGTCCTCTATATTTACCATATTTAAAATAATATTTTAAACCAAACAATTTATAATCATCCATAATAATAATAAGTAATGATTCATCATCAATTTTATCTTGTTTATTTAGTACAATATGTACATCAAATTCAATTGGATTTGGTAATGATTTTAGTTGATTATTTGAAACATCATATGTAAAAAGATTTCTACCCTGAAAAAAATAATAACAATTTTGTTTTTTCGAATAAACAATCGCATCGATTAATGGCCAATAACAAATATTTATTGGACAATTGAATATTGTTTTCATTGGCTATATTTTTGCGGGAAAATGAATTTGAATTAGTTTTTTTATAAATGAAATGAAATGAATAATTACCAATGTTACTAATGGTGGATACATTTTAGATTCGAAACAATTTTGACAAAATTCAATTGTTGAATATGATCGATGTTGAAATAATATTAAATTAAATTTATTAAATTTACTTGAAAATTGTTTTTTAATTAGAAAAATTTGTCTTATTGGATCATTATCGATATCTGTTTTACTAATTTGTGCAAATTGTTCCTTATCTTTATTATTTTCAAACAAAATTTCTTTATCATTTGTTTCTTTTAATGACCAAATAATAAATGAATTGGATTTTTTTCGTTTTACTGGTATCAATATCGATGACTGTTTGTTTTAACGAGAAAAAAAAAGAGAAATTTTATTCAAAAACCTATGCCAAAAATCATTCGATATTTACCTTAATATGCAAATCATTTAAACTGTCACTCAACCATTCGAAAACATCATTAACATTTTTAAATTCATCATTAAATGATACTGGTAAATGATTAACAGTGAACGAATACATTTCTATATATAGAAAAAAAGAAAGAAAAGAAAAGAATATTTACAGGATAAACATAACCGTTGAATCGACACTCGAAAATTGATTAAAACTTACTTTTATCATTAATTAAAAAATAATAAAATGTTTTATCCAATATAAAAACCATACGAACATTATTGATAAAAATTTTTAAATCAATAAAATGTTTACATAATTCTTGACTTGTTTGTTGACAAATTTGTAAATTTTGATATTTTAAATATACATCATTTATTGATTGTATTGGACGAAAATTTCCTGTAAAACTATTTATACATCTATAGTTACATGTGTTGGATTTGCCGCCATCATTATCATTATCATAATTGATAAATATACTGAATCCAAAATTTGAACCCAAATCTAATATCAATTCAATTTGACCATAACGATCTAATCGTTCACATTCATCATCAGTTGGTGGTGGTGTTGATGGTTCAATTGTTGTTCGACGACAATCGACAATGTTATTGGTCAAAATGATCATAATGAATATTGAAATTTTCATTTTTTTTCACACCAAAACCAAAAAAAAATTTGACTCAAATTTTCATCAAAAAACCAAAACATAGTTTTGTCGAATTTTCTCCAAAATCAAATATTCAAATCATTTGATTGTTGAATGTTGAATGTTCGAGAAACAAAAAAAAATTCGAGAAATTCGATTTGGTTTTTCAAATGGTATAAAATTCAAATGAATTTTATCGTTATTTTTCTTGTATTTTTAATTTATTGATCGAAAATTTGAACCAAAAAAAAAAGATGTGTACGAAAAATTGCTGTGTATTAATCGTATTGTTGTTTATCATACCGTTGATATTCTGGAATTTATCATCGTATGTCAACAAAAAGGTATTTGTTTGATTGAAAATCTCCACTTTTTTCTAATTACAATTTCTTTGTTTTGTTTTTTAAAAAAAGTTTTACAGCTGCTTTTCAACGAGAGAAAATCTAAAATATAGTTCATTAAAATTATTATTATTATATCATGATAAAACAACTAAAACAAAAGAATATTATCATTTACATTTAATATTGAATGATACGCTTTATATATTTGAAACGGAATTTCGTATATGTGAACAAACCAAAAGTAAAACAATACATTGGTGTTATATTTATCTAAATAAATTAATTTCAACAGAAAAATGGCATGATGATACTAGATATCGTATTGATGGAACAAAATTAAGTAAAATTAATCAATTAAAATTGGAAAATGTTTTCAAACCAAACGATCAATTATTAGTTTATCGTTTTCGTATTAATGTTACAACAAGTATTAGTGTAATACGTAAACGAATGAAAAAATATCGTTATTTAATTAATACAAATTTACCGCCAATGAATTGTATTACGGATGCATATAATTCAACAAAAGAAACAGCAACAACAACAACAACAACTTCAACTGAATCATCAAAAAAAGGTTATCTAATTTTTTACCTGAATGATGAATTGATAACAAAAATTTTGGAACAAAAACAAAAATTACCAAAAAATACATATATTTCAACAACAGATTGTCCACCTGGTAGTAAACGTCGTAGAAATCGTCGTAATGTTGGTGGTCGTAGTAGTAGTAGAAATCGTAGAAATAGTCAATCACTTCAATCTGGTATTCTTGATCTTGATTGTATTTTTGGTGATTATGATTATAATAATGATTATCATGATTCGGATAATGATGATCATAAAGAATCTTCATCATCATCATCATCATCATTCAATGAAAATCGACCACGACAACTTATTTTAGTTATCGATATGATATCAATATCATTTACAAAATTAATCGAACAACCACAGGAAGAAAATTTATTTAATCGAAGACAAACATCATCAAAACCGGAATCAATTTTTATCCAATGGATTATTGAATTATATACACAAACGTCAACATCAATTATTGAAATAAGTAACCAGGATCGGAATCATGACCACGATCATGACAACGATCATGACCACGACCACGACCACGACTACGACCACGACCATGACCATGACCATGACAAAGATCATAAAGTAAATTCAACAAAATTTTGTTCCGGACATATACCATTCGGTTATGTACATCGATCATTCGTACATGTTTGGTGTGTTGCCGATTATTCTATATTAATATTCCCATATGGACAACAAGAACAAATGAAAAAACAAGATCCCGATTTATCGATAAAAATTTCAATTGATCATTATATTATTTGTCCATTACAATCATATTCATCGATATTATTATTTTTAAATGAAGATTATATTTGGTATATATTATTAATTTATTTTATATTAATTAGTCTTTGTATTGCTTGTATAACTGGTTGTTGTCCATATGATTATCCACCACCACCACCACCACCACCAAATCATCATCATCATGAACATCATCATAAACATCAACATAAAAGTCCAGAACAACAAAATATTGATCGTAAACGTTTTCATTTAAAACGTTTAAAAATTATAATGAATAAAATTAGTGGTGATAGACAACATTTTAAGGGTGATAAACCAAAACCACATCATGATCATCATGATGATCATCATGACGGCGATCATCATCATGGCGATCCACACCGTGAAAAACAACAACAACAACATGGTGATCATCATCATCATGGACAAAAAAATCAAAAAAAACAACATAAAAAACATCATCATATTCATCGTAAAAAATGATTAAAAAAACAAATTTTTGAAAATAAAATCAATATATAGTTTTTTTTTATTTATTAGATTTTGAATTGAATGGAAGAAAAAAATGATGATGGAAGTTTTTTTTCCATTCAACAATATCATTATTCTTTTTCATTGAAATTAATCCTTTTTTTCAAATATTATAAGAAAAGAATATTATTAGTTTAAGAAGATTTTTATAATATAACTTTTGGCGGAATTTGTTGCTCTTCTTCTTCAGAGGGCTGTTTGTTTACGAAAATTAAAATCATTCACAAATTCACAAATGCGCACGTTCAATTCGAGAATTAATCCATATTTAGACGAGATATTTCATTCAATAATAATGATTCTTCTGAATCATTTAAATCATTTTTTTTACCCGTTTCCGAATTATCACAGATTGTTGTTTGATGTTCCGATAATGTTGTTGTTGCTGTTGTTGTTGTTGTTGTTGTTGTTGATGAACTAAATGGAACCGAATAAAAACTATGAAGAATCGTTTGATCTAGTTTATTTGCACCAGCTTGTGACCAAGGATAATCATATTTGGTTTTATAATTATTCATTATTACTGGATCGTCTGTTTTCAATAATATATCCGTTGTTGATGATGGTGATGATTTTTTTTCAACCATCGATAATGATTTTAATATTTCCTTATAAATTGAATAATAATCACGATGAAAAGCAAAATGTTCATCAAGTTCTTTATCACCAAAATTAACATTATCATCATCAGTAAATGGTTGATCAATTATTGATTGATAATCGTGAGGATTAGAAAATTTTGGATTCCAATCATCTTCAAACCAATCCGATGAATATTTATTAAATAATTCTGGTTGAAATTTTTGTTTAAATAACCATTGTTGAAGATTGTTTTTTAAACGTTCAAAATTATATTCAGATTTTGGATGTAAATACCAACAACGACTTGAACCACGATAACAAACATCTTTTGAAAATGATTCACATGGTTGTGTACGTTCTTTACAATCATGTAATGGTCTAGGTCTTATTTCATCTTGACCATGTGCAAAACAACATTGATCACCATATGGACATTCACCTATTTCTGATTTATAAATACATAATTCTGTTTTATAACGATCAAATTTTATAAAACGTTTTGATTGTGAATCACTGGTTACTGATATAGTATTCGAACGATTACGATTTGTTGATGATGATGATGATGGTGGTATCGATATTATCGAATAAATCGAATCATTTGATGACTATTGTAATAAAAAGAAATTTATTATTGAAAAAAACAAAACAAACAAACAAAATTCTTACAATTGATGATCGACGTTCATGATGATAATGAAAATTTTGTCGATGATGATGATGACAGGATAAAAAATTACTTGTTAATTTTGGACTAGTTTCTGTTTGATGCATCATTGTTGTAGCCGAACATAATGAAAGACAACGATCACGAAATGGTGGTTGAATAAAATTATCCTCGCTATCCGATCCAAAATCAATCGAAGATTGTGTTGATACAATTTGCTGTTGCTGTTGTTGTTTTGGTTGTTGATCATTATCAGAATCATCTGTAATTTCAACAATATTTGGCGATTGTTTTTCAGCATCATTATCATCATCATCATTATGATGGTCAGCATCGTGATTATCATCATCATCCGAATCATCGTTGAATAATAAAGTTACCGATGAATGATCGCTGAGATTCAAATCCTCATTATCATCATCGCAATCATCACTGAATATTGATTCTAAATTTTTCATATCCAAATTTTCAATTTGATGATTTATCGATTGATCATTATTACCAACATCATCATCATCATCATCATTGGATGCATCAATAATTAAATCTTTTTCATCATCATGAATTAATTTTGTTACATAATCATTCAAAATCATATCATCATTTGAATGTGAATAATATAAATGATCATTCATAAATGATACTTGTTTACGTGGTTTTTCTATTGGACAATTTTCATCCACCGTTATTATTCTATCCGTTTGACAACGACGATCGACGATAATATTCGATTCATTATTCCGTAATGAAAATGGTGAATCGGATAATTTTTCTAAAAAATCCGATGATTGTTGTCGATCACTGTTGTTGTTATTGTTTGAATTGGTGGGAACGAAATCCAATGCATTCGGATTCAATGTAAGATTATTATTATTATTGCTGGAATATTGTAATGAACAACGATTAATATTCATTTCATCATTATTATTATCAATACGGTCCAGATAATGATTTATTATTGATGAACATTGTTGTATTGGCTGTTGTATTGGTTGTTGTAACATTGATAATCGTTGATGTTGTTGAAAAAAATGTGATTGTGGAATATTATTGTTCAATCTTGTCATCATTATCTGTTGATTGATACGTGTTTGTTGCCCTTGTTGTTGTTGACCACCAATCATTGATGATAATGGTTGTTGTTGTATTGATGGCCAATTTTGATTACCAAATTGGACATTATTATTTGTAGGATTAAAATTTGGATTAACAAAATCATATATCACAGATTGTTGATTATTATTTGCCGAAGATGATGATGTTGATTGTAGAGTTGGTGGACATCGTTGCGTCATCGATATTTGTTGTTGTTGTGGTGTTTGTTGTGATTGTTGAAATTGCATCGCCAAAGCTGATAACATTCGATTTAGATTCGGACATTTATGTGGATTTTTTGTAATCTGTTGCTGCATAGTTAATGGTTGTACAATATTCGTTGATGATTGCCATTGATTTATACCGGACGTTGTTGATGTTGGACCAAATCCAGGTGGTGGACGAATGATTGCTGTTGTTATTGCATCATTCTGCTGCTGTTGCGCCATCATTAAATGATGATGATGCTGATGATGATGTTGATGAGGATTATTATTAGGATTCATCATCATCATCATAGGTGAACTTTTTGTTAATTGTTGTCGTTGATTAAATCGTTGTTGCAGCGATGATGGTGGTTGTTGTTGTGGCTGTGGAATAATCGATTGTATCGATTGATAATTCGATATCGGTCCAAATACATTCGATTGAATTTGTTGTTGAAATGTTTGATAATTTTCCATTGGATTTATTGTTGATTGTTGTTGTTGTTGCATCAATTGTGATTGTGATGATCGTCGTTGATGAACATTATATGGAAAACGACCTGTTGATTGTTGCGACTGTTGAAGATTTGTTAACAAATTTGAATTGTTCATTGTCGTTATTGATAAATTCTGTTGCTGTTTTTGATCAATTTGTACAAATGTTACTAAACCGGGGTAAGAATTAATGTTTTCATTTTGTATTTTATTATTATTATTAGTTTCATTGTTATTATTCGAAACAAATCTAGGATTTTTCGATGATGATGATGATGATGATTGATCACCAAAATTCATCATTTCGGTGTTCGTCGTCTTTTCGTAACTTTAACGAGGAAAATGATTTATCAATTGAAAATAATTTGAAAAAAATAATTTATTTGAAACAAAATATAATGATCTTAGAGAATCTTACCGAATATTAATCGGATATCAATGAGATTTTTCTGGATTCACATCAACAGATTTCGACAAACCAATTTAACAATCAAACATTTTCAACGAGATAATTGATTTGTTTCTTTCGGGTTTTTTTTTATTTCTCTGTCTCTCTGAAAACAAAAATTTCTGAATTGAATATTTTTTTTTCACTCTTTTTATCGATTTCGAAATTCGAATCGGACTATTGATTTATTTGTTTACGCGCGTCTTTTTCAAGACATTTTAACTGGTCGGCTTTTTCTCCTCTCTCTTTCTCTGGTTGTTTAAAAACAAGATGAAAACAACATCATCATCATGATCATTCATCTTAATCAATCAATAAATCAATCAGCAGATTGATTAAAATGGGGCGGAACAATTGATCAAAACAATTTTAGCCATGAGATTATTTTTCCACAATCATCATCATCAGACAAGATTCATGACAATTTTAAAAAAAATGAATATTTTTCTCATTGAAAAAATCAAAATTTAATTTGATTTTTACAAACACCAGATGGCGTTACCTATTCCATAAAAATATTGAATCTTCAATATTTGAATTTTTTTCAATGTTAACGCGTTCGCTACCGGAGATTTCGAAAAACACATAGAACTACAGCAAATAAACGACGCATATATGCGTCGCTGGTAGCGAACGCGTTAAACATCTTTTTAATAATGAACTTTATTCTTTTCCTTTTAAACTTTGTACATTTTTTTTTTTGACAGAAAAAAAATCCTGATGACAGTAGTCGTTTTTTTCGGTCATTCAAAAAAAAAAAATTTTTATTAATCATACAATTCGTCACCTGTCATATGTCATTGATGAATTTTTTTTTCTTAATTTTTTAAAAAAAAACCTTGATAAATACACCCACTACCAACAACACCACCACCACCACGAAATGATTTTATTCCGTTCCAAAAATTGATCCATCAAACAAAATTTAAGAAAAAAAAACATTTCCAAAATGAAAAAAAAATCTCCATTGCGTGGTATGTGGATGTGTTTATTTATTTTTGCATTTTCTTTTTTCTTGCATCTTGGATATCGTAGGCGTCTGTAAGAAAAAAGGAAAGTTTTTCGTTTGATTATTTATTTATAAGCACCATCACCAGTAGCTCTAGTTTCTTTTCCTTTAAATAATTTTACCTTGAAATCGCTTTTTTTCACTTTACTTTAATTACTTTACAGTCCATTCAATTTATCTGGATCAACAATGGAAAATTGATGCATTGAAAGATTGAATTCAATCAATCGATCATGTCCAATGGATTCCGATCAATTTTTGGTTTAAATAAATTATCATTTTCGATTGGAAGAGGAAAAAAAAAATTTCCGGAAAATTTCCTTCTGAATTGGATGTTTGGTTTTGATCGGTAGGGAATGCAAAAAAACAATCGAAATTTTGAAAAGAAGGCTTGTACGCTTGAAAGTTTGTGAAATTGAGAATTGAAAGTTGTTGGAAAGAAAAGAAAAAACTTTCAAGCAACAAGACGACGACGACGACGAATCCTTGGAATTTTTACTTGAAGTTTTTTTTCCCTAAACATCGAAAGAGCGAGTGAAAAAGAAGAGAAAGATTGCATCGCCATTCTTTTCTTGAAATTCAATCCTGCTCTTTTCTTAAATTTTCGTTTCTCTCTTTTCTTTTTTCTTGAAGAAAGTTATTTCTTCATCGATATCGCGCCCTGTCCAATGTTCAGAGAGAAAAAAAAACGTTTTGGCTGATTATTGCGGCGACTGTTTTTCGTTGTTTGTTCATTTGTTTGTCATCGGCTATGGATGTTTAGATTGACAACGACAGATTCAATATCCATTCATTTTTGTCTGGTTGTTTCAAATCGAATAAGCTAAATTGAAATAAGTTTCTTCTTTTGAAAATTCTTGATTCATCGGGTATTTTTTTTGAAAATTCATTGTGCAGTGCGGTGTTCATTTGAATCAAATTTCTAGTCAAACGTGGTCGAACTTGAATTTCTTCAACAACAACAAAAAAAATTTGTGATAAACCAACCAAATGACCAAATAAACGATCCTGATTGAATATAAAATTATAATGATTTTAAATAAAAAATTTTCAAATTTACAAACTTCAATGGACGATAGAATAAGAATCATAATGAATTCATTTCGAAATATTTTCTTCATAATTTACATATTTATTACGTTATCATCGTTATCATTATTTCCATCATCAACAACCGTGGTAAGTTCATTCATTCATTCAAACCAAAAAAAAAACAAAAAAATTTGATTAATTTTCCTGGAAAACAAACAAAAAATTTCTGGTACATTCGAATCATTCGAATGGATGAACGAATCCCAAAAATCGATAGAATCGATTAATCGTTTCGAATCATCCGTTTTTTGCTGGAACCAAATGATTTTGTCATTTCGATGAAAGAAAAAATTAATGAATTTTTTTTTCTTTAAAATTTTCATTCATTTTTTCGGTCGATTGATTTGCAACAAATTACGTAATCTTTGATCGTAATAAATGTACATTTCAAACGAGAAAAAAAAATTGTCCTAAATTCACCGATCGATCGAACGATGATCGATTCTCATTATCAATTTTTTTCCCATTATTATTTTTGACTCGAGTGAATTAATTTTTGTTTGTGAATTTTTATTTTTAACATCAATGAAGAAAGAGTTTTTTCTTTCGCTTCTTAAATGAACAAATATGGGCAGATGGTTTTTTTGCTGTTGAAAATGTGATCATTGCTAATTTTGTGTGATGTCTGTGATGTGTGTACATTGAGCCATTTATGGTGGCCCACTTGAGAAAAAAGTTTTTTTCTTCACAATTTGATTTGAATTAGAAAAGACGACAATAATTGTGTGTGTGTGTAATGTTGTTTTGGCTACAAAAAAAACAATCATTGATCTTCGCCTAAGATTGATTGATTGAAGGCCAAATACACAATGTTTTTCTTTGCTTGTTTTCATTTTCGTGTGTTTGTGTTTTCAAAATTCATCTTTTTTTTCACAAATATTTTTGAATGATTGTTTGTTTTTTCTTTTTCGAATGCTGGTTTCTCTTTTCTTTTTTGAAATTTGGTTTACCACGTTATAATTGATCTTTTAAATTTTTTTTCCATAGAATGGACAACGTTTATTAAAAATAGCACAACCATTACCGCCGGCACCACCACCACAAATAATAACGGATGAATTTAGTCCATTAATAACGGCAAGATGTGATCGTGGTATAATGTATATACAGATTGTAACACAACAACCATTTTATGGTGTTGCACATACACGTGATTATCGTAAATCACAATGTATGATTATTGGTGATGGTTCATATAATACAACATTGAAAATAAGTTTATTAGCACAACCGGATGATGAACTTTATTGTGGTATTCAACGTTTTAAGGTAAACATTTTTTTCTTGATAAAATTGATAAAATTATTATCATTCTCTCATTTCAATCAGGGTGAACGTTCAGTTGGATTAGCTGTACGAATGCATAAATCATTAGAATTATCTGAAGATCGTTTTTTCTATCTGACCTGTCAAAATGGTTATCAAAATATACGTGGTGGTACTTATCGTGTTAATTTAAAACTTATTGATACAAATACTGAACAACGTGCTGTACGATTAATACATGGACAATCATATAAATTACGTGCTGAACTTTCACCAAAAGATAGTATAACAACATTACGTATGAAAAATTGTTTTGTATTTACAAAATCAAATGATAATGTTGAATTAATTGATCGATCCGGTTGTCCAGCTATAACCAATCTAATAACACCATTTTATTATAATGATTCATCAACTGGTGAAGCATATATTGCTGAAATGTTTAAATTTCCACATGATTCAAAAGTACATTTTCAATGTGATGCATTATTATGTAGAGATAATTGTGTTGAACCTGATTGTGAAAATATTCATTCAGATAAACGTGAATATGAATTGGATGGTTATTCACATGTATCAGCATCTACATCGGTTTTTATTCGTGAACCAACCGATTCTGATGGTAAAACATGAAAAATTTGAAATTTTCATTATTTGAATTTGAATTTTTTTTCTTCTTTTTAAATACTTAGCATTAATCGATGCAAATCAATCCGATGTTGAATGTACTGAATGGCGTTTTCCATGGCTTATTACATTGTGTATTTGTTTGGCAATAATGTTATTAGTTATGTTATTATTGAATCTATTTATGTGTTCATCATTAACATGTCGTTGTATAAAAACTGATTTAAATGAAAAAGAACCAACAGATTTTGATGATTATGATCCATATCGTGCCGATTGGACAGCACCAAATTCATTACAAGGTTCAAGATATTCATTACAACAAGCCCGACAACAATATCCAAGTGATGAAACATTACATTCAAATAATACATCAAATCCTGATTATCATCATCATGATAATAAAGGATTTATTCCTACAACAACAACAACAAATCAACAACAACCAACAAAAAGATCAAAAAGAAATGTTCAACCGCATCAACAACAACAATCCGATAATAGTAGCAGTATTTCCGAATCTGATAATGAATCAATTGATCGTCATCATCATCATAATCCTCATCATCATCCTTATCGAAATGATTATCCAATACAACAACAACAAGATTCATTACGTCCAATACGTACACATGATATTGATTATAGTTTTGATTCACAGCAACAACCACAAGGATATCCAAAAACACATACGAAACGATTTTAAATAACAAACAAATTTCCTTATAAAAAAAATTATATAATATTCTGTTTTTTCAAATTAACCCATTCTGGTCGCTATATATTTTCCTTATACAATTCAATCAATCGATTGATTGCTTAATTAATTAATTTTCAATTGATAAATAAATTATCTCAACATTTTTTGCCAAAAAAAAAATTGTCATGGATATTGTTAGAGGATTGAAAGATTAGGAGAAAAAAAAGTGTATCGATTTTTAAGTGGTAATTTAGTGGCAATCATTTGATTTGTATGACAGTGATGATTGGTCATAGAAAAAAAAATCATTGAATGGATGATATTTGAGATTTGAAATGAAATGAATGATGGATCCAAATAAAGTAAATGAAACTGATGAATCGTTTAATGATGAAAATGATTCGGATCAACAACAACAAGATGATAATTTCGAAGATGAAATGACCACAAATGAATTGACAGTAAAATCAATTTCCGAATTAACACCACATCGTATTTTGTTTTCAATTAAACCTGGTTTTCCACGACCAAAAAGTTGTGGTGGTAAGTTTGTTTTAAACATTTTTTTTCAAATTCAATTTTGATCAAACAACAAAAACTTTTCATTCGAAAAATCATCAGGAAAATTGAATCAATTATTCGATACCGATGGAAAACCTACCGGCACCATCAATGATGATGATGATGATGAATCAAATGAAACGAAAAGTATACAAACAATATCATCATCATCAACATTACCACCACCAGCAACAACAACAACAACGGTAAAACAACCAATGAATCGATTACATTCATTAGTACAATTACCCGAACAATTAGATTCACGAACAAAAATTCATTTAAAAATGATTGAAACAGTAACAAATAAACAGGAAATTCAACAACAACCATTGAATTATCGTTCAAAAATTTATGTTTATAATTTTTTTAATTATCCAAATTCATTTTGGTCATATGGTTATCATTTAACACTTGCAATCATTCTAATATTTTATTTGGGTCTAGTAATGTTTACATCACAAACAACATGGGAAGAAAATTGTTTTCTTTATCGTAACGAACATCGTTTTAAATCATATTTTGAATTGATAATTTTTTTACATTTTTTAATTGAATTTTGGTTAAGATTTTGGTCATCACGTGTTAAATTTCCATATAAAAATCTTAATATAAAACGTTGGATTTTCAAATATTTTTTCTATCGTATATCACATATATTTGATATTTTATTAGTTATCGGAGGGATTTTATCTGCAACTTGTTTTATTTGGTCAAAATTACCTATTGATTTTACCCAGAATCTTTATGCATTAATAATGTTACGTGGTTTTCATCGTTTATTCAATGTTTTACAATGGACTAGTGTACAAAAACGTGATAGTCCATGGAAAATTCTTATTGAAGTTTTTCATGATGGTGGACAATTATTATTCGCTATGTTTTATCTAGTTTTACTAATAATATTCTTGGTTGCATATGGAATATTTTTGGCCGAAACAAATCCCGATCATGATCATAATTTAAATGATACAAAAATTAATAATCTTATGGATTCAATTTATACAACATCAATAACATTATTAACAGTTGGTTATGGTGATTATTCACCAATCACATATGCTGGTCAAGCATTAACCGGTATTGGTATATGGATTGCATTAGCATTGTTTGCAATACCAAGTGGACTGATTGCAACATCAGTTGCATTAAAAATAACCGAACAGGAAGAAATACGTAAAGGTAAAATACGTAAAATGTTAGCAACAACATTAATACAACGTGCATGGCGTTTTGCACGAAGACAACGACAATATGAAATGGTTAAATGGTTGGATCAGATGAGAAAAACAGGTCAGGAATCATCGATACCGATTCGTACACATCAAATATTATGGGATAAAATTGATCATGTAATTGAAAATCGTCAACAATTTTTTGCAACACAATTCATACAATTATTATCATTGAATCGTGCTCGACGAAAATTTCGTAGAATCATACGGCCAGATACTGATCCACGTCCAGCAATGAAATCATATCAGGTTAAAAATTCAGATACCATCGATATATTGGAAAATATTCATCAACAATTAGAACAAATAATTCAAAAACAACAACAAACAGCAGATATTGATAATCAAACAATATTGGATTTTTTCGAAAATAAACTTAAACAAATGGAACAAAAAATGATTGAACAGAATAATGTTTTACAGGAATTATTATTATCGATGAATTTTCAATAAAACTTTTTATTTTTTTCAAAAAATATCTTTTTTAATTTTTGAAATCAATATTGAACATTGATCGATTATCAACCACAAAAAAAAGGTCATTGTTATTAATAATCGATTGTACTATCGATAGTGATGCACACTTGACATTTGATTGTTGAGAAGTATTCGAAAACAATCAATCAAATAAATCACAACATTGATAAGATGTCAAAATTACTGTTGTTTTTTGTAATTTTTTTTTTTTTAAATTTCATTAGGTGCAATCAATCAATCAATCAATCAATAGTTTTTTAAGTGATAATTTAATTCTTGTGAACAATTTAATTATTATTGCAATCAATTATCAAATTGAATGTCGGAAAAAATCAAAAATCAAAGAAAAAGAATCAATTTCCGTTATATAAATAGAAAATAATGGCGCCAACATGATAATAAAGATGATGATGATGATGATGATGATTACAAGGTTAAGAATAATGCACCGAAAATCTTATTGATTAATTAAATCAATCAATCGTTATAATGACATTCTTCTTGATCGATATTGATTATGCGGATGATGATGATGATGACCACCACTATGGTTTGATGATTGTTGATTTTGTTGTTGTTGTTGTTGTTGATTTGATGACATTGTTTGTTGTTGTTGTTGATTATTTGATTGACGATTTTCTTGCTGCTGCTGCTGTTGTAATGGAAATGTTGTTGATGGTGATGGAACAGAAATTATTGGTCCAGCCGATGATGATGATACTGTTGTTGTTGTTGTTGTTGTTATTGATGATGTTGTTGATGATAATGGCGGTGGTTGTACTGGATTTGAATTGATCGAAGATCGATTATTGATGTTTGGTGATTGAAAAAAATCATCATCATCATCAACATCAACAATATGAATATTATCATCATCATCATCATAATCATCATCCTGATCATCAACATCATCGATACTTGTATTACTACCTGATGATGCAATCGGATAAAGATATTTAGATTTTTTTAAATTTAAATGATTCGGTCTTGTTATCATCGTTGTTGATGTTTGTTGTTTCATCATATTAGCTATCAACGGTGGATTCGATGTTGATAATTTCAATTCATTTGAATTATCAATCAAAGATGGATTCTTCAATAATTTTGTTGTCGCGGTTGGTGTTTTCGAGCGATTCTGTGTGGTCTGATTCGCAAACATTGATTGCTTAGTTGCTGCTGGTGGTTGCTGTGGATTTACCTGACGACTTAATGCAATGGATGATGTATGTTTTCTACCTTGTGTCATTATTGTTGAATTATTTGGATTCAGATTCTGATTACGTTGATTATTTGAATTTGTTGTACGTAATAATTCAACTAATAAATGATTTGCCAGTAATTGTCGATGGCAACTTTCCATCAATTGTCGTATATGATCAATACGTCTTTCGAATGTATTTTGTTTGGTTTCAATTTTCATCGACATATTCGCCACTCGATTTTCAGTCATTTCAATACGACGTGATAATTCTTCAATCGATTGTTGTACTAATTTCGTTCGTAATAGTACTTCGGTTTGTCCATCACTATAACTTTGCATAACGGTTTTCCAATCAACTGGTCGTAATAATTCACGAAATTTATTTAATGCAGCTAAAAATTGTACCAGAGCTATGAATTTTTGTGCCATTGAAAGATAATCATGTTGTTTATAGATTGGCATTGGACGTTCACGAAAAAATTTCGATACCAGTTCATAGGTACGATGTGCTTTCCATGATCGGTATGCACGTTGTATCAGTAATGCTGCGGCAACTTTTTTCCGATTACGGATATTATTTCGTTCAACTTCTTCGATTTTCAACGCAAGACCAGTACCAATAATACCGGCTGGTAAGGCAAATATAGCAACACCTAATATGGTGAACATTGTTGATATGATTTTACCGACCCATGTTACCTACGGTCAGAAATCAGAAACGAAAAAAAAACGAAACCAAAAAAAAACGAAACCAAAAAAAAACGAAACCAAAAAAACAAACAAGGATTATATAAGGTTATTTGTGAGGCAAACAAAGAAACCAATAAAAAAAACAGAAAACAAAATAACTGGATTCGACCAGTTTTCTGGTTTATCAAAAATAAAAATTCCTTATCAAAAAAAAAACATTTTTTTTCTCCTATTTCATTGTTTTGATTTGGATTTTTCTGTTTGAATAAAAGAAATTTCTTTGTTTTTTGTGATTCATTGATAAGATTTTTTACTTCAAAACGTTGACACTTACCGGCACACGATCACCATATCCTACTGTTGAAAGTGTAACAATCTGTAGTTGTTCAATTTGAAAAAAGAAAGTTTTGTTTTAAAAGAAGAAAATCTTATTGTAAATATTGAATGGCTATACTAACCGCCCACCACATTGCATCAGCAATACTATTAAAATTATCATTTGTATCTCTTTCGACTAGAAATGCAACATATGCTAGAACACAAAGAACAATAAATTCTGTATAATAAATAATGAATAATTGTTCACGTTGATCATAAATAACTGAAGCTAAAACTTTCCATGGTTTTAGCGGACGATTTAATGTTAAAACTTGTGCAACTTGAAAAAAACGATGAAAACCACGAAATGCTGAAACGACAAAAACTTCATGTCCAGTTTTACTTGGATTAAAAACCAATACAATTGTTGTAAAACTCAAAATGACAAAATCAATTAACCTTGATGGTATTGTTAGATAACGAACTTTACCCATTAAACCACGATAACGTTTTTTACATGCACAAGACCAAAGACCTAAACAAAATTCAATATTAAACCAAACAACAACAACTTTTTCTAACATATAAACAGATTTTATAGCTTTTTCTTGTAATGGTGCTTGTTGTATTGTTGCACAAATTGTTAATATTAAACAAACAAATACAATAACAAATACCATAACATGATATGTTATTGACCATGGTGTTGATGTTGATGGATGATTTAAAAATTGATAAATTAAAAATCTTCTACGATAAAGTTTTAATGTACCTGGTGCACCATTAGCCATTGTTGGATCATCCGGTACAATTAAATCATCTAAATAAGTCATTATATCGGATTTACGCCGGTCACGTAATTCACGTTTTTTCCTAACATCATCTAACATTGCCATTATACGTAATTTATTACGTGCTGCTGTTATTGATGAATTTGCACGTGGTCGTGGTGATGATGAACAATATTGTTGTTGTTGTTGTTGTTGTTGTGTTGGTGAATTTGGTTGATCAATTTGAATACTTGGTATCGATTGTTGTTGTTGATCTTCAATATCATCATTATAATAATAATTATTCTGATTTTGATTAACATTATTTGTAACATATGAATTACGTCGTCCGCCACCAATTCCCGCCAGTCCGGTATTCCACCAACTTGGTTGCGGTGGTTGATATACAGGTGGTGGTGGTTGTTGCGGGGAATGTATTGTATTATACATTTGTTGTTGTTGAAATTGTTGTTGCTGTTGGGGTTGAAGATGTGCAATCGATGATGGTGTAATATTTAATGATAAACGATTAAATGAATTTCGATTCGATGTTGACATTGTTTTTTATGTTTTTTGATTTTTTCTCCCTCCTCAAAAAAAAATCTTAACCCTTGATGATCTTAACAGATCTACTTAGACATTCTTATTAGGATTTTTTTCTTCCCAAAAAAATCATCTACATTTGATTTGAAACATATTGAACACACACACACACACTGAGCAAAATGCAAAACTGACTTATGTAAAATATACAAACAAGAAGAAAAATGGCTAATATCGATTGATCAATCGATCAATTGATGTGTGTGATATATCGAGAAATATACTGGGATATCGATATTATTTTTGGTGTGATCGATTTTTGATTTTCAATTGATTTTTGATTTGATAAATTAATAATCAATGCCATATTTGTTTCCCCTACCACTACTACCATTATTATCTATCATTATTAGAGTGGCGACACTTGTTGATCAATGATTAATCAATTAATTTTTGTTGTTGTTGTTGTTGGATGTCTTTATATAATGCATGGATTCGAGACTAAGAAGACGAAGAAGATTCAATGCAACTTGGTTTTGGTTTGGCTGAAAAAAAATGCAAAAATTACAAATTTTCAATGAAACACATTGATCATTGAATTTATCAAATCGGCCCGCCATTTTGATTTTCATTGATGTTTTCTTTGGTTTCTGTTTTGTTTGGTGATTAGTACTTTGGTTGTAATTTAATATCGATTTCATGTCAAGATTGTTGATGTTGTTGTTTTCGCTATTTTTAATAATGATTATCAGAAATAGCGAAAACATCAATAATTTGAAAAATCATTCAAGATTCATTTGAAAATGATTAGGTTAGGTTAACTGTGCTGGCCATTACGGATTTGCGCTAAGGTTAGGTTACATCATTCGGACATTAAATTTTGCATAATTTTTCAACAAAAAGAAAAAACGTACCAAGAAGCAAAAATTCACATCAAATACGGATACAAAATTTTTCGTTTCTTTTCCTTAATTTTTCCAGTTTTTCGTAATCATAATCATCTTTTTTAGCATCCAGATCACCTTTTTGTTATTTTTGATTCGCAATTGCAATATGGTGGCCAGGTTTTTTTTGATTGACTAAACTGAACTGAACTAATCAAGGAAATGACATTAATTTCGTTATGATTAGTTTGCGATTTATTTTTGGTCCAAAAATAAAAATAAAAAAAGTTCCAAATTTATCATCACTTTTGATGTATGAATGATATCGATGTTGATATGAACGTTACGTTTTTGGTTGTGTTTCACAACATTTCAAGCAAGCAAGCAGCAGCAGCAGATTATAAATTTAGTTACACACACAGAGAAAACAAAATGCGGAAATTTTTTTTTATAAAAATAATTTTATTTCGATAAAATCAGATTTTAATTTTTTTTTTTTGTAAAAAAGGTGTGCGTTTTATGTGTGAATTTGATTTGGCAAGGAAATTTTTTGTCAGACTAGATAGTGTAAGTGTGTGATTTTTTGTTTGTTTGTAAAAATTTGTAATTTTTTTTTTGTAAGTTTTTAAAATTACAATTTGGTTTTAAAAAAATTATAATGAGTTTTTTGGGAAAACAGAGAACTTTGAGGAAAAGAAAGTTTAATTTTTGAGTTTTAAAAAACGAGGTTTTTACGAAATTTTTTGTTTTCATTGATTATCCCATAATACTTCTTGATTACCATCATAATGATCAACATATTTACGAACAACTTTTTGTGGTGGCATATCACCATCTTTAACAAAATAATATTGTGAATCTTTATCCATTTCTTTGGCCAATTTTGCCAATGCAATCGGTAACAATGGTATCGGTATCGGTAATGGTATTGGAATTGGCATATATTTTTTACGTTTTTTCAAACCCAATAACATCATCAACATTGGTTTACTTTTTTTACTGATTAATTTTCTCATTAAACGATGACTTGCATCGGCAATCATATGCTGTTCGAATAATACATTGATCATGATTGAAATGATCAATATTGTACATAGGATACGTTTGGAACGTGATGATAATGACGACGACATTGTTTTTTGAATGGAGGAAACAAATTAGATGCAGCACGTGTTTCGTGATGTTTTGGTAAAGCACTTTTGTTGTTTAATGAGGATTTTTGTTGTTTTGAAAAGTGAAAAAACGGACCATTTAACGTTGATCACTGACTAAACATTTAATGAAGATGATTTCATTGATTTCTTTCCGTTTTATCCTGGATGAATTTTTTCTTTTTTTTTGAATGTTTTTCTTATTGACTCTTTGCGGTTTTTTCTCACATTTTCTTCACAGGGAAATCAAATAAGTGCGTTTAGACAAAAACGACGATGAAGAAGAAGATAACCATAATAATTAGCTTATGGTCTTATCTAAATAATAATAATAATAATATCCATTTCTGTTTTTTTCGTGACAAGTAAGTCTGTTTTCTGTTTCTTTTCGTCGTTTATCCGGATTTTTTTCTTAAAAAGTTTCTCTATTGAAATGCAGGATTTTTCCAAATTTTTCACATTTTGTTTCGTTGTTTCTTGTGAAACCAAATAAGAAAAAAAACCAAACCATTTGACATGAGTAATTGATTTTTTTTTCGGGTAAACGAGAAACAAAAATTGAATATTTCCAATTTTGCCAGTGATGACATTTACGTTTAAACGAAAAAAATATATATATCTAGTGTCAATCAATCAGAGACAAATCTTTTTTTGCCTTTCCAATCTTATTCAGGTAAATAAAACAAAAAAGGTAAAAATAACCAAAAAGTTGATCAACAGGTATCATTGAGACGTACTGTATACGTTAGAAATGATAAAAAACTAAAAGATTAATCGATGAATGATGATGATGATTCTTATTGATCAATGATCGATCGATTGATTGATAATCGATTTTTGATTGATAATCGATTTTTTCAATTTTCAATTTGAATATGAATCTGTTGAAAATATCAATTGCGCCATAAAAATTTTCAAAAAAATCAACTTTATCGCCATCTGTTATTGATGATTTAAAATGAAAAAGTTTTTAATTTTTTCATCAAAAGATGGCGAAACTTTTGATGAAAAAATTAAAAACTTTGGTTTTTTTCTGTATTCAATTGTCATCAACCTAACCTAACTCAACTACAAATCATAGCCATAGTCATCAACCTAACCTAACTTGACTAAAAGCCATGATCATACTCATCAACCTAACCTAACTAAATTGGTCACTTGGATTTTATGTTTTTTTTTTTTAATTTTTATTTTGTTACTTTTTCGGTGCAAATAGGTACATTTCAATCAAACAAACAATTTGGAAATATATTTTCTTTCAATTTTTCAAATTAAAAAAGCGCAATCAATGCAAAAATAATATTTTTTTGTTTTTCTTTCAATTCATGTTGTTGTTGTCGTCGTTTTGGTCTTCCAAAAAAAAAACATCCAAAATGTTTATTCATTATTTTTTGATTGGAAACAAAAATATTTTTCAGAAAAAGAAATTTTTGACAGCTGATATCATCAATCGATCGTCACTATGATTATTTCAATCTGGTGGCAATCGAATGATCAAAAAAAAAACGAAAACAAAAATCTTTAATTCTTTAGCCCAAAAAAAATGTCTTAATCCTGTTTTTTTTTTTTTTGAAGATGATTTTCATTTTCATTTCATTTTTCATTTCTCTTGAATATTAATAATTTTCAAGGTTTTTCACTAAAGATCTTGTTCGTTGAGCAAAAAGAAAACCAATTATTTATTCATACAATTTTTTTTAAATACGTCTTTTGGATTTTCTTTTTGCGTCAATAATGTTGTTGTTGTTGTTGCGATGAACTGATTTCAAATCAAATCAATTAATAAGATTTGTTTTTGGTCAAAAAAAAAAAATGTTTTTTTCCAAAATTCTCAGCATTCGATCATCAATGGAAATCAATCAATAAGATTTGAACGAAGAGAGTGAAGAATGAAACAAAAGTCATAAATATTTTAGGTTTAAAAAAAACAACAAAATTATCGATTGTAAAGATGTTGTTGATGATAGTAAAGAAGAAATAAATTCGCATTAATTTGTTTGTTTGTTGTTGTATCTTTGAAAACAAAACAAACAACCATATTGTTGATGATGATGATAATAAATTGAAAAAAAATGAAGAAGAAGAAATTAACGATAGTGACGGTTTGGCAAATGATAATGACCATTATTTTTCTATTGTTGCCTATTCTTGAACGGTCATATATCGTATTGGGAAAATACGATGGAACATGCTAAATTCATAAATATTTCTTGCCAATGATAATGATAATGATAATGACAACGATAGCAGCAGTAGTAAAATGGTCATTCTTCGAAGGTCAGATTTATTTCATTTTTATTTTAAAAGTGTTGATATATGTCGTGTGTGAGAAAATATCAGTTGTTTTTTTTTAAAAATATTTTCTTTTGGCTAAGCATCCAAATCAACAACAGAATAATCATCCATCATAATCGATCAAATGACAGTCGATTTTTGTTGGTTGGTTGCTTAGGTTTTCATTAACAATTTCTTCGTTTTTCTAAGATTCTTTCATAGTAAAATTTCCAGATTGTTTTTGTTCCACTGTAATGAGATTTGTAATAAAACATTTGTTGTTTTCTTATCTGTACTGATATGAGATGTAAGAATATCTAAACATATCTGTACGTCATCAGACTTGAAACAATAATCATTTTTTGGGGGGTGAAAATTCTTCATTCGACTGAATTTAATGAAAATCAAACAAAACAAAACAAAACAGAAAAAAATTCAATCAATCATCAAATGATAATGAAAAATATGCAAATTTTTATCTTCAGATTTCTGTGTGTGTGAAATTACAATAATTTTTCATTGTTGTTTTTTTCTGTTTCTGTTTTATTGAATTTCGATTTATCGATGCAATATTTTAAATTTTCCAAAGAATTTCTGGAATTAATTATCACATTCTCGATAGGTGGTTGTTGTTGTTGTTGTTGGCGAATTATTGATTGGAATGTTAAAGGGTCACCTACCTGCCTACCTGACAGATTGAAATGGATGCTGATCAATATGCATATTGAAAATTTAAAAAAAAATGTGCGAAAAAATTTATCAATTTTGTCCAACCTTGTAATTTGATTGTAAATTTTTCAAGAAAGAAAGACAGAAAAAAACATTGTTTTATTTTGTTTTTGTTGTTGTTTTCGTTGACCAGCTTTCGATTTTGCATCAATTGATGAGAAAATGAAAAATTAATTTTCTGGAAATTTTCCATTTTTTTCATCTAATTTGTCTGAAACGATGCGAAAAAAATTGTCAAATCCCAAACAAAACAAAACAAAACAAAAAACACATCACGAGCAAGATTTCAACAGAAGAAGAAGAAGAAAAAAAGTGATTTTAATTAATCTATTGCGTGTATTTAATTACCATTTCAACCAATTTTCTTTTTCTGTTTCGCTCATTTAAAGTTTTCTGTCAAAAATTTTTTCTTTCAAATCAAAAATCGATTTCCAAAAAGAAATCGAAAAAATTTTTTAGGAAAAAATTGTTCAAATAACGATAATGATGATTGCCAGAATTGAAATTAAAAATTAAAAAATTGATTTTGATGAAAAACTAATTGATTAACGAAAAAATTACAATCAAATAATTGAATTATCATTCATTTTAACAGTCAATCAATCAATTTGATCAAAATGATGATGGATCGATTGATCGATCGAAAGAATCCAGAAATCAAAAAATCAAAATCACAGCCAATATTACCATCATAATTTGATTATGATGATAATTATGATTGATAATTTCATTGAATGGCTAAAAACGAAAAAAAAAATCAATAATGATTTACAGAAAACAATAGAATCCATTGGGAAAGAATATTTTTTTTTTCTCCACATTTTCTACATTTACATAATGCGAGCAAAAACACAAAACACTGTTGAAGCATTTTATTGTACAGAAAATGAAAAAATGAAATTTTTCATTATTTAAAATGATGATTATAAATTCATAATGATGATAATCATTAGCATTATGTTTTTTTTTGTGAATGGTTGGATGGATGGATGGATGGCATGGCATTGACATTGAATATAATTTTTTTTCATTCTGTGTGAACATCATCAAGGTTAATCATAATAATTAACGATGATGATGATGATTGTTTTTATCTTCTTCTTCTTCTCCATCTTCAAGGATCAGAAAATTCATCTGGTTGGTTTGAAAAGAGTTTTAGGTGATTGGGAAAAGTTACAGTGTTTAATCATCATGGTGGTATACTGATAATATTTCAAATCAATCAAATGTTCAATTTTTGGTTTGAACAAAGAAAAGAAAAAATTTCCAATAAAGATGTTATATTCATTTTAGTTAGCTATTTCCTAAGAAACATTTTTTATTATTATTTTGACTTTGACATATTTCATTTGAAAAAAATTTTATTATTGGAAAATAGGAAGGAAATATTATGATGACGATGATGATATTATGTCATACTTGAATAATAGTTTTTTGTTGTGAAAAGAAAATAAAAAGTTTCATAATAAACATTTCATAATTTTTTTTTTCATATTTCTTCTTGAAAATTATATTAGTGATCGATTGATTAAAGGTCATTTTTTAAAAAAAATTTTCTGGAAAAATTATTTCCCGAAAAATTTCTTCATTTCAATCAGGGTAAAAATGAGCTTGATTTTGACTCTGTTCCGGTTTTTTTTTCTTCTTTTACAAAACAAATACCGGACAAGTTCAAAAAAAATGTTTATGATTTTCAAATCAAATCAATCATTATACATGAAAATCGGTAATTTTTTTGGAAAACAACCTACAGGTTGTTTATCCATTCATTCATTCATTCATGGTTATTTTATTAATTTTGGGAAGCGAAAAAAAACGACAACAATTTTTTTTTTTTGATTTAATAACAATGATAATTGATAGTCAAGTTGGCTTGGCTTGACTGACTGACTGTGTATATTTCCCGAACGACCATGGTCAATTATCATCATCAGGTTTTTTCTTTTGATGTATGTATTAGTTTCCGAACGGGCTGAAATCCCGAAACAAACAAACATCATTGAAAATTGAATTTTCGTTTTTTTTTTAAATATTAGTTGTCCTAGTCGGACAACAACAACAACAACCATCAACCATCATTATTATTATAT